GTGGGTGTTGCCACTAAGGCGAGGGGAGCCTCAGCAGTAGATAGTCCGCTGCTCTCTGCTGTGCGTGTTTTAGCGCGAACATGTACGCAAGCGCGTCTTTTGATTTCAACCAATCAGCGTCGACGCAAATGACGTCACACACGACAACGGCCAAGCTAAGTTAGCCGAGACGACACTCAAAGTCGGACGGACACGATTTTCTGCCAATCTGTGTTTTTCCCTTTTTGGCCAAATATATGTTTTACTCCAACTGTCTTGTTGATGGCGTCTTTAATTCGTTCCACTGGGGTTTAGCAGGTGTGTTTATAAAGAGATGAAAATTGTTTGGGGACTATCCCCCACGTTCTAGTTGAGATGGTATAACCCAAGAGGCAAAATGACGCTTGCTACTGTTGTTGCAAGTTGCCATTCGTTCTACTAAACCATTAGTCAAACGCCATCATGTCTTCTGTCGTGATTACACAAACAAAAATCTCTTTACTGTTACTAGTGTTAGTGCCTCAATATGGCTACGCTCGTGAAAGTAATACAACGAACTCAAACGCGTCTTCGTTTAATGTTGTCAACTAATATCCGGATTAATTTTATGCAAATTTTCCTCAATTCTCCGGAGAAATTTTCATAAAAATTTGAAAAACCCGGAATTCCGGGAAAATTTGGAGGACTTTCATCTCTGATATCATACAACATGATGGTGTGCCAGTTGCGACGACTATGTATCAGCAAATATGGTCATGATGTACCACCCCAAAAAAGGGTGAGACCAAATCTGTGCAGGTGCGACCAGCTGAAAAAGCTAGTCTATAGCCCGGTGTTTTGTTTCACCTATTTATTAACAACCATTTTTCTCACCATTAGGTGTGCATCCTCTAGTGTCCGACACTGAAGATGGAGCACAAATGGCTCAAACTTCAGCACAGCAGTTCCACAAGAGCTGTCCAGAGCAGACATCTGAAACGCAAAAACATACTCTGCATATATTCAAACATTCACGTCATTGAGTTGATGAACAGCTCGATGGCATTTAAAAAAAAAAAAAAAAAAGATACTCACCACATCATCAACTTTGCATTTTGAATGTGAGACAAAAAGCCAGACAAGATTTTTTTTCTGTACAACACAGCTTTCGGGAGCCTAAAACAGATTAATAACCAAAACAAGGAAAGAGGAGATATCAGATTGTGAAACAGAATACTTGTAAGAAGTTGCATTTTCTTTTGCTTGAGCCGACTTGAAAGACTATGAGACGATGGTTCCTGAAAATCATTTCAATTTTGTGCTCTGATCAAAAATACACAATGGAGAAACGGGCCACATGAGTCAATCTGATTTTTATACTTAATAGGTGGGGGGTCTACATAACCTTGAAGTTTTGAAAATGAACAGATATGGGTAACAATGCGCTACATTTACGCTGTGACTAAAGTCACTGTTTGGATGAAGAAAATCCATTACTTTTATAAGCGTATTTATGTTCGGAAAAAAATGGTACTTTTACCGCTTTACATTAAGTTATATTCCATTCACCACTTTATTTGTACAGTATCCATCTATTTTTATTTGCACGGTCTACTGCTTAGGGGTTCGTCTGTGACATTTCCTCCTCGGGTGCCGTTTCACCAGTCCACAAGGTAAATACCAGTGACGTTTGACTCCAATTCAGCAATCAAACATTGGCAAGCAATCACATCCCCTGACACAAAGAAGTCACAGACTTGCCAGTGTGAATCGTTTATGTGAAGAATGAGAAAAACAAGTTTAAATAGATTAAAATTTCGTGTTTTTGATGTCTTTACCCCCCAAATTCAGGTAATGGATGCATGGATGCATGAATTTCTTTTTAATGATAAAAGGTCTTCATGTCATTTCATGTTGCCAATTATCATGTGCTGCACTTGATTAGAGGTACATTGGAATCAAAATAGCATCTAATTTCTGAAAATGAAACATTAGTCCAGGGGTGGCCAACCAGTCAGAGACTAAGAGCCAATTTTTTTACTGTGTTACTGCAAAGAGTCTCTCTCTCTCTCTCTCTCCCACACACACACACACACACACACACACACACACACACACACACACACACACGCACTCGCTCACATGCACGCCACGAAGAGCAACAGCATGGGCGCCCAACATAAATGAAAACTAAAGACACAAACACACAAATCTTCCCCCCCTCCCTCCACTACCTCTGGTTGTTTGTCTCTGTGTGCCCTGTGATTGGCTTTCAACCGGTTCAGGGTGTCTCCCACCTACTGCCCAAAGACTGCTGGGATAGACTCCAGGACCCCCCCCCCCCTCCCCGCGACCCTTGTGAGGATTAAGCGGGTCAGAAAATGGATGGACATTTTATATTTTGGTCGTTTGTACCATTTTTGGGCTACTCTACCCACCTCTAATGACACCGATTGATCGCACCCCAGTTCGTCCCTGCTAACAATGTGATTTCTAGATTTGTCAGATAATTTCCGACACTTCCTAAATACAAATAAAATTGTGTTTTTAACGTTAGCTCAAACAGCCGTATTCGGTAACATACAATCAATAAGAGCTCACTCACCGTGTCAATTACTGTAATGCGTCCGGAGCATGAACTGGTGGTGAAATACTCCTCGAAGCTATTGAGCAAAGACACCAAGTGCTCAATATCTTCATCCACATTTCCTTTCTTACTTATGTCACATTTGTTCAGACACCGTTTCTTCCACTCACTAAAGGTTTTCTCCATTTGCAAAGATTGTGAAGAAGCCCGATATCATCATTGACTCAATGTAAACGTAGTCTTAACTTCCTCATGTTTGCATTGAATGGTGGTTAGCAACCACAGCGTTGAGTTATACCGCCATCTACCTCACAGGAGTGTCATCTATGGAATCTATCTGAGCGTGCTAAAGAGGTTAATTTATTATGCAAACCATTGGCAACTTATCTGAGTAACTCTGAAACTGACTTCTCTTCCACAGCCATTCTGTTTCATCGCCCTCAGGGGTCTGCACGCTTCGATCGACACAACTCCTGCTCCTCATGTCTGCTCATGTAAAGCATTATAGCCTAGTGGTGTGTCGTTCGCGAACGAGCCGTCTCTTAGAGCCGGCTCTTTGAAGTGAACGACATGAGCCGGCTCCTAAGAGGGAGCCGCCTTAATGGGAGACGACCTTTTTTTTTACTGCTCTT